TTGAGGGGGATGCAGAATGGAAAAACACACCAATAAATATTTTTAACCCTTACCTACTCTATTCAATTTTTTTTAAAGCTTTTAGATATGCATGAGGTAACAGGGTCTCTTTAAATCACATTATTTATTAATGACCCCTGACCCCATCTACACGAATATACATTGCAGACACACTTATTTATACATAAATAACTGCTACAGGTCTACGTGGAGTAGATCTTCAAATGATGACATTTAAGTTGTGAATTACTTCAGTATACATACCACAAAGCTGCAGAGTTGGCGGCACCCTGGGATCTCCTGTGTTGGCTTGTCACTCTAGGGGGCGTGGCTATCATCCTTGTGACTTCAGCTGTCCGTTGCTGCTGTGTTGGAATCCTGGGCTCCGCCCTCCAGGGATGGCTATGCTGTGAGTCTCTGCTGGCAATTGCAGGATGACGCTCCACTGCTGCTGCCGATTTACCACCCGACCCTTCCTCTGAGCTGCGGGCACCTGTAAACAGGCACAGGCTGCCGGCAGCTCAGAGGAAGATGCGGTTTCAGGGCGATGCGGCTGCCCAAGATTGCACTTGCCAAGGACCTCGGCAGCCACATCTGCGAGAAAATTTAAAGTGCCGGTGTCGGCACTGAGTGTCTTGTGTCCGGGTGCCCGCTGGCTGGACACCCGTACACAAGACGCCAAAACCGGACTGTCCGGGTGAAAACCGGACGGGTGGCAACCCTACCAGGAGCACATACGTTTGCCTTCAAAGCAGCCGGCTAGCCGATAAAAGCACCCGTGCATGGGGCGGGAAGGAGAGCAATGCGGGGACCTACTAGAGAATGAGGAATTGAACATGCTTAAATAAAAAATAATGGAGGATTTGGGGAAGTGTGGGCCTACCATTTTAAAACATAAAAAAGTAGAGGTTTAATATCTCTTTATGGTTCAGTTTCAACTATGTAACGGTAGGCGTCACTGTTCCGCAACAAACTGCTTATGTCTATCAGACAAGATCACTGACAGAGGGGACTAGGAAGATGCTTGGAGTAGTAGAACTAAAACCAATCACTAATATCTCAAATAATCTTAACATAACTTACATAACTTGTTATTGTAATTGCAAAAGTAATTGTTAGCCTTTTTAAATCTTCAGTTTATAAAAAAATAATACCAGGTAATCCTGCCATTAAGGTCCTTGTTCAGGCAGCTCCTATTAGGTGACAAGACTCTAACTCTAAATTGCTCTCCTGCAGCGGCCAAGAGGTGTTGTTTTATCGAAAAAAATATATTCCCTCTTCTTTTGCAAAGTTTGCTTTTAAAGGCCCATAGGATTAAATGGTATGTACCCATACCGCAGGAGCAACATCTTATTCACGTCTATGGGATTTTATCATAGAAAAAGAAAAAAGAAGGGTTTGGACTTTTAAGGTACTTCAAGGATCACACGAAACATATTTAGTTTTTATATAAAGTATAACAATTTTTATTTATAAATATACAGTATTTAAAATGCTTTTTTGTTAAAAAAGAAAGACAAGCAGAATTGCCTAAAAAAGACCATAGGATGTAGCCGCATCCTCCCACATTTTTATCTATATTACAATACTTATTGCAATTTGCTGGATATCAGCTTCCTAGTTTAGTTTGTAGTCCCGTGGGAAGAAGACAGATTTCAACGCGTTTCACGGAGATCCGCTTCTTCAGGAAAAAGGCTACTGTCTTTCTACAAGAAAATCATAGTTTTTTATTTACAAAGAGTTCATAGTTTACCTATGCAAATGCATTTGAATACTTAGTGCAGTTTGTTTAGTTCAATAAACTTACAATAGTCTGTAAAGATTGCTGGATCCACCACTGACCAACACTCAATCATGGGCACGGACGGGTAGGGACCAATAGAAATGGGGCAGAGAGCAAGACAACCCCCAAGTCAAAGCAGGAAGCTACAAAGTGAGAAAGGTTTCAAAAGAGGCCAGATTTTCTATTATGTGATCTCAGAAAATCTCAGAAATTCTTATTAGTATTGAACAGATCACACCTATGAAAGAACAATGAACACTCTTTAAGAGATTATCAGGGGATCTGCCCAAGTGGGTACACATAAATATAGTTTTTCTTGTTACCTGACATCCATTTCCATCAAGGTGTGCAGACGCTACTAAGTCCAGAGTCTGGTGCGCTACTAAGGTCTGAAGTCCAATTAATATACTGTTCTGCATTGCTGTATAATGTATTTCTGGGATTTGTAGTCCCCCTGCAGCCGGTGCCATTTCCACTGTTCTCTGTGCAGCACTGCGATATATGTCAGAGCTATATAAACATATAATAATAGCGTGAGACTGTGGGGGGACATTAGAGTGTAAGCTCTTCTGGTGTAGAGACCCCCAGAAGGTGGAGGAGCCAGTGAGATCTGCTCAAGCCCCCCTCCCTGCTCCCAAGGGAGATAAAATCTTGCACCAGGGCACTTTGTTCCTTTGGTCCGCCATTCACCCCTCAATCCAACCAAAGAGAAGATCACAGGGTGGTCTCGGTGAATCTCCCATTTGATTGAGTACAAGCAAATGTCCTCCTGACTGTTGTTGGCAAGACTTCTGTACATCTAATCTATATATTTTTGTACGTCAACATTTTATGGCCATCACAAGCAATAAATGGTACATCCAGAATAGACTTTAGTACCATAAACATGCAGTAAATTGGAAAGTTTTCAAGTTCTCATTTTCTTGCTGACCAACACCACAATGCATAAATGAGATGAGAGAAAGAAGAACATTCTATGTGAAGGAAAACACAACGAGGTGACACTGAATGCAAAGGTATGACCACTGAAACACATCTGTGACAGAGCAGGCAAGGTGAAGTGTTGCAGAACAGATTGAAACAATGTAAAAATAGCTTTAACCTATTCCACCACAAATAAGACAAATAAGATGTGATAAAGCTTATTTCATTCAGCATTGACAAAGAAGATGTGACAAATATTTATTTAAAATGTCTTTACAGACAGAATTTATTTTCATGTTAAAATATTGATTTTAACAGGCTACAACGTATTTATGTATATGTGTGTAGAGCCAAAAATGTTGTTTCAGCTTTGGATAGAGTAGAAAATGGTTAAAACTCCTTTTTTACGCCTTGGTCCTGTTTCCATTCCAGGGAGACCATAGAAAGTGAGAGGAAGTCTCTCCAAAGTAAGGGAAAGTTGCCACCCAAACAGGTGTACTCATTTAAATATTTATTTTATTGCTCTGGTGACAATGCTAAAATGATTGATTTCCCATGAATTTCTGTCCCAGTGACAATGTTACCAGGACAGCAATAAAAACATAGTCCATGTTCTAACCCTCCCCCCATTTATCCAACAGTAGAAAAAACATTTTGGCTAGACATAAGCTTTAATCTAGCTAAGGACAAGCTACAGGTTCAAGTATGTTTTCTTGACGATTGATTACTTTTAATATCAACAAAAATCATATTCCACAAACAAGACATTGCTTTTTACTTACAGTGTTTATTTTGGAAGAAGTTTATTTTGTTATTTTTTATATTTTATTTAATTGGAAAATTCTAATATTTTACATATAGCAAATATATAATTTTCCAAATGGTGACCTATATTCACTTTAAAACCTAAGAGCTTTTTTCCACCAAAGTTTCCTTTCTTAGTTAGATTAAAATAAAGCTATCACAAATAAATTATATCTTGATAATGGTAACCATAAAGACCAAGCTGGCAAAGTGGCAGGGACAGGGGTTGAGACATAGGGGTCTATTCACAAAGCTGCCGAAGGATCTGGCCGTAGCTTCGGCCGATCCTTCGGCTAGCTTCGGCCCCAGGACCCCTTCGGTTCAGTAGAACCGAAGGGGTGCTGTTCGGGCTATTCACAATAGCCCGTACAGCTCCCATCTTTATTCAAACAGTGCCTATGTGAGATATACTTGAATAAGAAAACACAGGAAATATTTATGTGACAATTTGATCTTAAGCAATGCCTGAGATGCTGACTGTCCCTCCAGACAGGAATATAACAGGTTTTACAATATGGTAGCACTCTTCACAGAGATGAAGATTCTATACATTCTAGAAATTCTTATTTAGAGCATAAATATAACTATTTTAAAGGATCATTTGTTAAAAAAGAAAATGGTGCAGAAAAAAGAAAAAACACAAATAATAAACAAACAAAAAAATAAGAATGAAGTTACTTAGCACAAAACCTGGGTTCTTTGGGTTTCAGCAGGACTTTGGGCCCTCTAGACTCGAGGGTGTCACTGAGACAGCCCCTATCCAATCAGAAAGGCCAGGGGTGTGAGACAGAAGGGCTAAAATATATATTGTGTCTCTTTTTGTTAAATCTTTTTCTGTATATTTTCTGCATCGTTTCTTTTATTAAAGGATGATATTAAAAATCGTTAAGCTTATCTCTACGCTCTAAATACAAACTTAAAGCATCCTTGCTCTCTGAAGAGTGCTACTGTATAGTGACTCCTGTCATATTCCTGTCTGAGAGGACAGCAGCATCACAGGCATTGTTTAAGTGTTTTGAATAGTCGCAGCAGTTGCTGGGCACGGTTTGTGTTCCGAAAAACACATGGTGGCAGTGGAAGTTTGGTGGGTAAAGGGTTAACTGCGGAGTTAACCAACCCTGGTGACGATCGCTCTCAGTCTGCTGGCCTGAGATTGTGTCCTGTGAGCTGGGAAATCTCTGTGCAGGGTGAGGCTGAGAGTGGTATCGCCACGTCCTTGTGACGCTCACGCTCGGTTCAGACTTGTGTATGGTCACGTGGGATTGACGTACAGCGGGTCTGGGCCGGGCGTACGTCACATATTGGTGGGAGCGCGGTGGGATAGTTCTGTTTAGAGCATTAAGTGTAGCGTTAGAATTTAACCCTACACTAAAGGATTGTAACACAGCAGGGTTCAGGTACAGCCCCGAGGGGAGAGAGTACAGAGACTGAACCAGAGGTCATTGCGAATATCATCTCCAACCCACCGAGTGATCTGGCCAGTAACCGAATGCCTGTACCCAACAGTGACTCTCCTCAACGGCAAGAAGTTCTGCAGAGGTTAATGAGCGCAGACCCTGTAATGTACCTGCAGTTTCTGGAGCGTCAAGCTGAGAGAGAGGAGCGTCAGGCTGAGAGAGAGGCGGCGGATCGCAGAGCAGAGAGGGAATCGGCCCGTCGGCATGAACTGGAGATGGCTAAGCTCCAGCATCAGAGACAGGGACCGAACCTCAGTTCCCTAGAGCACAGGGAAGTACCTTTGGCTGTGAGCCCTACAGCCAAATTTCCAGTTATGGACAAGGACAGTGATATCGATACCTACCTGCTATCCTTTGAGAAGATATGCAGGCAATATCACTTGCATCAGAACCAATGGCCCAACTATTTGACCCCAGGACTGAGGGGAAAGGCTTTGGATGCATATGTGGAAATGCCACCTGAGCAAGACAACGATTACGAAGCCTTAAAGGATGCAATCGTAAGGAAGTACCAGCTGACACCCGAGGTGTATCGCAGACAGTTCAGATCCCTGCAAAAGGGGCCTACAGACTCTTTTCTGGATGTGGTAAGTCGCTTACGTACCAAATTCAGGCAGTGGTCCCGGGGGCTGAATAAAGTGTCTTACGAAGCCCTGGAAGACCTGATCCAGGATCAGCTCCTGTCCATCTGCCCCACAGAAATTAGGCAGTTTGTGCTGGAGCGAAAGCCAGAGTCTGCCACAGAGGCCGCTGAACTTGCAGATACCTATTCCCACACTCGGGTATCTGACCATCGCCGAGCTCCTCCTAGTGGCTGGAAACGAGGGAATTCACTAACGGTAACACCTGCTACAGTGGTGAGTCAGCCTTCCCACAATCCAGCAGCTGGAATGTCGGGTGCCAAGCCAGTGTCAGTGGACATCCGCAAGTGTTACAACTGCGGCAAGTCTGGACATCTCAGGAACCAGTGTCCTGAGCAGAAGAAGATGACATCACCTGGCTAGCCGGTCAGCACCCCTTCTGTGTTGTTTGTCAACGAGACGCCGGGAGGTAACCAGACCAACTTACAGCCCGTTGTCATCGGTAACCGGACTGTGACTGGCTTCCGAGACACTGGAGCAGAGGTTAATCTAGTCCGTCCAGAGCTCATCGAAGACAAAGACCTCATCCCGGAAAAGTTTCTTACCCTCACCGGAGTTGGGGGCACTCGTTCCCAGGTGCCTCGGGCCCGGGTTTTCCTTGATTGGGGGGCGGGAAGCGGGATGAGAGAAGTGGGGGTCTCTGATGAAATTCCCACACCGGTTTTATTGGGTGCAGACTTGGGAACCCTGATTTCTTATTATGCACCTGCAGAAGACACCCTGGATTCTTCCACCGGACTCTTTGGACACACCAAGGTACTGTGTACAGATGCAGGGTTAACATCTGGGCATTTTGGGGGTGAACAGAGAGGGGAGGAGGGTGGGGTGGAATTGGAAAGTTCTACACCTAGGGATGGTGTGGAGACGGTCACACAGAAACGTGTAGTAGGTGCTTGTGTAACTGTTAATGCTGGAAATGTGAATAATAAAATGGTCAATGTTCATTCTGAAAATGTTAATGTTAAATGTGATGACAATAACACATTGCCAGTATTTGCTGTCACTCGTAGTGCTGCAAAGGTGGCGGAGGCACAGACGCGGGCCTCAGAGCAGAGAGAGGGGGCTCCCAACTCTTCTCCTTGTTCTGACCCAGCGGGCTCAGCCAACGGCGATCCCCAACCGTTGTCTCTGTTTGCCACAGGACAGCTGGCTGGGACTTGCAGTGCCACCTTTGAGACAGCTCTGCAGACTGACACAACACTGGAACAGCTCAGAAGTCTGGCTGCACAACCCCCTGCTAAGGGAGACCAGTATCAGATTTCCTGGGACAATGGGAAGCTTTACAGGCAGCCCATACACACAGAAGGAGATGAGTCAGCCCTGAGCAGGAGACAGCTCATTGTGCCTAAACAGTTTAGGGGACACTTATTGAAAGTGGCACATGAAGTTCCCCTAGCCGGGCACTTAGGGGTCACTAAGACCAAGGATCGAATAATTTTTTTCTGGCCTACCATGTACAGGGACATAGCTGACTACTGTCGGTCCTGTGCTACCTGCCAGCGGGTTGGCAAGGCAGGAGATGTGCACAATGCCCCACTACAACCTTTGCCTGTAATTGATGAACCTTTTAAGAGGGTAGCGGTGGATCTTATTGGGCCACTAGCTATTCCTAGCAGTTCGGGCAAACGTTATATCCTGACAGTAGTGGACTATGCTACCCGGTACCCAGAAGCTGAGGCTCTCTCTTCTGTCCATGCGGACAAAGTGGCTGATGCTTTGCTGGGGATCTTCACCCGCGTGGGGTTCCCAGCTGAGCTTATTAGCGATTGTGGAGGGCGGTTTGTGTCTGAACTGATGCAGGCTCTCTGTCAGAAAGTGCAAATGACGCATATCATGGCCAGTCCCTACCATCCACAAACCAATGGTCTTTGCGAGCGTTTTAACGGTACCCTGAAACAGATGCTGCGCACATTTGTGGAATCGCAGGTAAAGGACTGGGAACGGTATTTGCCTCATTTGTTGTTTGCATACAGAGAGGTGCCTCAGGAGTCCACAGGCTTTTCGCCATTTGAACTGTTGTACGGGCGGCGGGTGAGAGGGCCCTTAGACCTAATCCGTGAGGCCTGGGAGGGCAAAATTGCTGATCCTGAGACTTCAGTGGTGGATTACATCCTAAGGTTTCGAGACAAAATGGAGACCATGGTGGGACTGGTACGAGAGAACATAATACAGGCCCAAGCTAGACAAAAACTTGGTATGACCGCAACGCTAGTGAGCGGACATACAGTGTGGGGCAGAAAGTGTATGTTCTCCTTCCTATGCGGCAGAACAAATTACAAGCTGCCTGGGAGGGGCCGTACCAGATCACCAAACATCTGAATGACGTCACCTACTTGGTGAGTCTGGGACCAGCCGGTAAGCAGAAAAAGGCTGTTCATGTGAATATGCTTAAAGTGACATTAAACCCTCAGATTTTGTAACATAAAACAATACTGCAATGTGTGTGTTATGTACCTTCTGGGAGACCGGATGTGAGAGGAGGCTTCCCTTGCACCTTGTGCCCTGGGAGACTCTGAGGATGGGAACAGAGCCCAGCGGGACAACAAGTGGCAGGAGTGCCAGTGGTGTTGAGCACTGTGCAAGCCTTAATCCTATGAGACGAGCCGAGGTCAGGTTCCAAGCGGGCAATTCCAGTACAAAAGGGGTCAGGCAGAAGAATGGTCAAATAACAGTTCCGTGGTCAAGGCAGGCAGAATTCAAGGTTTGTCGAGAAAGTCCGGGTCACAGGGATCAAGCAAGATATCACAAAAAACTGGAACAAGGATTAGCTGACGATAAACCAGCAACATGGTGGTACTGCTGCTGGGTTTATATAGGGCCAGTGATGTCATTTCCTGTGCGCCACTATGGCGCATTTTCGTGCTGGTAAACTACTGCTTCTGCGCATGCGCGGGATGGCGCATTTTCGTGCTAGTAAGTTACTGCTTCTGCGCATGCGCGGGATGGCGCGTTCCCGAGCAGTGCAGGTTGCACATGCGCAGATGGCGGGGATCCGTTAAAGTGTGCCTTACTGTAATCCATGGTTGTTTCCCTTCTCTTTGCTGCTCTTCCTTTTAAATCTGTATCTGTTCTCATGCTCTGCAGAACTTCTGTTTTGCAGCAGACTGCCTTGTCTTTGGAATGGCTACATGGTGTCTGTGTGTACGTTTGTAACCTGAGCCAGCACTACAGGAAGAGGCACTGAGCTGCAAAGGGAAGTTCTCCCCAAGCATGAGAAGACATGAGGATTTAAAATGAAGAGCAGCAAAGAGAAGGGAAACAACCTTGGATTACAGTAAGGCACACATTACAGTATTGGTTTATGTTAAAAAATCTGAGGGTTTAATGTCACTTTAAGGCACATCATGAGCGCACAGCCTATGTCCTGCCCATGTGTAGCCAGCCTGAGCCAGATGCGGCAGACCCACTGCTAGACTTATTAGATGAAGCGAGGGAGGGAGACGCATAGCTCAATATCAATGCTCACCTGTCCTCTACCCAGAGACATCAGCTGCAAGAAGTGCTAACAATGTACCGTGATCGGTTCACAGGGAAACCAGGGAGGACACCCTTTGCTGTCCACCAGGTGGACACGGGAGTGCATGCTCCCATCAAACAGTCCGCCTATCGAGTCTCCATAGAGGTGCAGGCAGACATAAAAAGGGAAATGGAGGAAATTCTGCAGCTGGGGGTCATTCAGAAGTCCCACAGTGCCTGGGCGTCGCCTGTAGTCCTGGTCCCCAAAAATGATCAGACGACCAGGTTCTGCGTGGACTACTGAAAGCTGAATGCTATCACCACTGCAGATGCCTACCCCATGCCCAGGATTGATGAGTTGTTGGATAAGCTGGCAGCTGCCCGCTATCTAACAATCATGGACCCGAGCCGGGGGTACTGGCAAATTCCTCTCACACCTGAGGCTCGTGAAAAATCAGCCTTCATCACCCCATCCGGATTATTTGAGTTTACTGTAATGCCGTTTGGGATGAAGAACGCCCCAGCCACATTCCAGAGGGTTATGAATGACCTACTGGAAGGGCTGGAGACCTTTGCCGTAGCCTACCTGGATGACATTGCGGTGTTCAGTCCCACTTGGGAAGAACACCTGGTGCACCTGTCACAGGTCCTGGACAAGTTGACGGTAGCCAATCTGACAGTCAAACCCGGTAAATGTCAGATAGGCATGACCGAAGTCCAGTACTTGGGACACCGGGTAGGTGGAGGCACTCTGAAGCCTGAGACTGGGAAGGTGGAGGCCATCGTGGCCTGGCCGACCCCTCAGACAAAGAAACAGGTTATGTCATTTTTGGGCACAGCTAGCTACTATAGGAAGTTTGTTTGTAACTACAGCAGCCTGGCTAAGCCCCTAACTGACTTAACAAAAAAGAAACTGCCCAAGGTGGTGTCGTGGAATCCAGAATGCGAGAGGGCATTTCAGGCCTTGAAGGGGGCACTGGCCAGCGCTCCTGTACTACAGGCCCCGGATTTCACAAGCTGGTTTCTTGTACAAACCGACGCATCCGCATATGGTCTGGGCACAGTTTTGAGTCAGGTAGACCAGACGGGAGAAGAACATCCCATCCTCTACCTGAGCAGGAAGTTACTTCCACGGGAAGTAGCGTATGCCACTATTGAAAAGGAGTGTCTTGCGATCGTGTGGGCATTACAGAAGTTACAGCATTACCGGTACGGAAGTTCCTTCACTGTCATTACCGATCACAACCCACTCAGCTGGTTATCCAGAGTTTCCGGCGAGAACGGTAAACTGCTCCGCTGGAGTTTAATTCTCCAGCAGTATAATTTTACCATTCAGCACAAGAAGGGCAGTGCCCATGGCAATGCGGATGGATTGTCGCGCAAGGTGGCGTTCAAAATGAATTTGTGATTCCTTCTGATGCCACCACACAGGGGGGAGGTGTGACGATGATGGGGGGATTGGAGTCTGAATATTGCCACATAGAGCACCTGCAGGCCTTCATTTAGTGATGTGACAGGCCCCACTACATTCCAACATAGCTCTGCTAATCCTTTTATGACTGTCGTAAAAAGGCATGGCACTAGGCCCTCCATATATTACGAGTGTACATCTTATATCATTCGCATTCTCTCTAAAAGTCATAAAACCTGAGGTTGAAAATCAAGTTACATTTTATTAATTTGGAGTTGGGTGGGGATAGGTAAACTAAAGGTTCATCCTCCGCCCGTTTGCCCGCCCACGCCTGCCTAGGGGCTGGCTTCGGGACACCCTCCAAAAGGGTCTTAAAAAATACTCTGTGTTAGCAACTAGAGTGGCTCTTGTTTTTAAACATCATCGAGGAACTAGAAGTCTGAACATCGCAGAAGAGTTCCCCTTTAATCTTTGGACATTATCTGCTGGAAGTCGGCTTGAAGGAGAGCCCGGCAGACTTCCACTTTTCTTCTTGAACTCTGAACTCTGTCAGAACTCACAATTCCAGGACTGTTGAGTATTCTTCTTTTATTCCCTTTTATTTTGCTGTTGTATATATATTGTGTCTCTTTTTATTAAATCTTTTTCTGTATATTTTCTATTTCTATTATATATATTTATATTTTGAATAGTCGCAGCAGTTGCTGGGCACGGTTTGTGTTCCGAAAAAAACATGGTGGCAGTGGAAGTTTGGTGGGTAAAGGGTTAACTGCAGAGTTAGCCAACCCTGGTGACGATCGCTCTCAGTCTGCTGGCCTGAGATTGTGTCCTGCGAGCTGGGAAATCTCTGTGCAGGGTGAGGCTGAGAGTGGTATCGCCATGTCCTTGTGACGCTCACGCTCGGTTCAGACTTGTGTATGGTCACGCGGGATTGACGTACAGCGGGTCTGGGCCGGGCGTACGTCACACATGTGACCAGTGTTTCATGATACCTTTAAATATATATTTGCTATTATTGTAACGCTCCAGGTCAAAAGTTGTGAATTATGTGTGGATTTTTGGAGCTAGTTTGGTTAACAAGGTTATTTATAGGTCATCTGACTCCAGTATCTCTATGTGGATTTCACTTAATATATTTATGACCCCTATTGGATCTAACAATAAATGAGCTATTAGTGTTTTGCCTGCCAAACCTCACTAAGTGCTTTTACGACCTGCCATTAAGAGGTTTTAAAAAAAACAGACCTGGATAAACATGTTGTTAACCCCCAGATACACTATATTGCCAAAAGTATTGGGACACCGGCCTTTACAAGCACATAAACTTTAATGGCATGCCAGTCTTAGTTCGTATGGTTCAATATTGAGTTGGCCCACCCTTTACCGCTATAACAGCTTCAACTTTTCTGGGACAGCGTCCAAAAGGTTTAGGAGTGTGTCTATGGGAATGTTTGAACATTCTTCCAAAAGCATATTTGTGAGGTCAGGTACTGATGTTGGACAAGAAGTTCTGTCTTGCAGTCTCCGCTCTAATTCATCCCAAAGGGGTTCTATCGGGTTGAGGTCAGGGCTCTGTGCAGGCCAGTCAAGTTCCTCTACCCCAAACTCGCTCATCCATGTGTTTATGGACCTTGCTTTGTGCACTGGGGTGCAGTCATGTTGGAACAGGAAGGGGCCATCCCCAAACTGTTCCCACAAAGTTGGGAGCATGAAATTGTCCAAAATGTCTTGGTATGCTAATGCCTTAACAGGTCCCTTCACTGGAACTAAGGGGCCAAGCCCAACCCCTGAAAGACAACCCCACACCATAATCCCCCCTCCACCAAACTTTGCACTTGGCACCAGGGCCGGACTGGCCATAGGGCAAACCGGCACTTGCCTGGGCCGGCCCGAACACAATCACCCTGATTGTGTTTGGGCCGGTTTGCTATGCCTGATGGGCGGCTCTTAACAGAGCCGGTGATGTATCGAAAGTGCGAACTTATCGTGTTGTGGGACCGCATGACTTCCGGTTTCCTCAGAACTACAAGGTTTGCACATAAAACATGTTGTGCACGAGCGGCATCCACGACATTGCCCTATACACATAGACCACAGTAATAAAGTAATAAAATGATGTAGGATGACAGTAAGGCAGCACGTTATTTATCTCAGGTGCCCCACTCAATATGGCCGCCGCTTGAGTGGGGCACCTGAGATAAAGAACGTGCTGCCTTACTGTCATCCTAGATCATTTTATTACTTTATTACTGTGGTCTATGTGTATAAGGCAATGCCGTGGATGCCATTACATGCGGTGTGCAGGCGTTTACATGGATCTGCTGTCGCCTGATCATTAACTTGAATAGGTGACAGCTGCCACTTGTAAACACCAGATTAGGGATTTCTGCTGCAGTAAAACGCACGTTTATGATGCAGAATCCCTAATCATACCTAAACCTACAGATATGAATAGGGCCTTATTGTGAGTATATTGGTGTCTGTGCTACTTAAAGGAGAAATATGCGGTCAGGGCTTTTCCCCATAGTCCTCCTAAGGGACAAACTAGCGTCCTTCCGTCACCCTAGGCTCAATATACCGCGAGCTACAGCTCCTGGTATACTGAGACGCCGCAGCTGAAGCGAATCCCGACAATTATGCCGGGATCCGCCCAGCTGCGTGACTGACAGCTGGCTCTGCCTATCTAGAGGCAGAGACAGCTGTACCCACCTCCTCCCCGGTCCGTTCCGCCAGTCAGCGCTGACGGAGCGGGGGGAATCCAGCCCCTCCCCTGTCACGGCAGAAAGCTGTGACAGGATCGAGAGGTGAGCGAACGCCGGTATGTGTTCGCTCACCTCCCGATCTACTGAGCCGGCCTGTGACAGTCTCATTGTCACAGGTCGGCTAGAACTATGAGGTGAGTGAAAAGCACTCGCCTCATAGTATAAAGCAATACAAAATCATGATTTTAGGTCAGTTTCTTAATATTATGAAGAACATGAACACTCTGTAGTGTGGCACAGCTATATCCAATTCTGCATACCTGGCTTTATATTATAAGAACTTTATAATATAAAGCCAGGTATGCAGAATTGGTTACAGCTGTGCCACACAAACAATAATACACTGAGTCTGGACATGTGATCATCTATTTTCCCAAGAAAAAGATATGAGAGGATCTGAGGGGATCAGCTCAAAGTACAGCTAGTAAGGAGGGTCGGAGAAAATACAAAATATTATACATTTATTATTTAAAATCTCATTGGACATACTAAATGCACCAGTTAACACCAACACCAGTTCAACATCTAAAATGGGTTACTGCAACAACCCATTCACTCATAAAACACAGAAATGCACTCTGAGGATGAGCTGATCAGCATAATAAATGGTACCGGATTAATCACTTAAATCACAATTTATCATTTATTTACTATTGTGTTGGCGCTGCATAATCGAAAAAATATTTATGCTTTGACCCGTGTGGTCTTGTTTTGCTGCAGCCTTCATTTTCAATAATTTATCAAGATACACATTACAATGTACAGTCACTGATATTTGTTCACATAATTTATTTTTTTGGCGCTGCATAATCGTAAATCTCTATGTACCAAATTCATATACTATTATTCTGCATTGCTGTATAATGTATTACTGGGATTTTAGTCCTCTATAGCTGATGGTATTATTCTGCATAAGAGTGTAAGCTCCTCTGTACAGAGACTGATGTGACTTCTCTGTACAGCACTGCGGTATATGTCAGGTTTATAAATGTGTAATAATAGTGTGTGGCTGTGCGGGTGACATTAGAGTGTTAGCTACTTTAGTGCAGAGAATGCCAGGAGGGTTGGGGGGCCAGTGAGATCCGATTCTCTGTAGCAATATGTCTGTGAAGGTTCTCATTCATCCAGGTC